GCTAAATAAGTTATCAGGGCATCCAATTCACTTTTTCTTTGTTTAATATCAAGATTCTCCCCAGCTCAAGAGTTCTGTTTCTTATTTTCTATTGCAACACTCTTCCAGCTGGCTTTTCTGCTTCTAGTCTTGAACTCCTCCAGTCTAGTCTCCACATGCACCCAGAATGATCCTTATGAGGCCTAAATTTATTCACAGTACTCCACTGCTGGAGGCTTGGGTCTGGTTTCCCACTCATTTCAGGATACATTTCAAATTGTTCTGCATGGCATTCAGGACTCACCATGATCTGAGTTCCGCTTCCTTTCAAGTTCCATCTAAACTTCCATTTCCTCCTCTCCTGCCCCGCTTTGCACAAAACACTCCAGACATAATGAGCTACTTACTGAATGCCCAGGCAGCTTCATACTTTTTCTTTTTTAAACTGGGCAGTCTACCTAGAATGCCAATCCCGATTCTTTTTCCTGGCAAATGTAAATTCATCTTTCAAGGCATTGTTCAAATTTCATTGCTTCTTTGAGATCTTTCCTAACCCGCCTCCCTCCTTGGAGACCAGCCTTCTCTCAGAGAACCTCTAAGACCTTATTGCTCTAATTGATGCCTTAAAAGTCTGTCAATGCAGTAGAAATTCCCTCTGTCTCTGTGTACTTTCTCTTCAATCTGTCTTGTTAGAGAGGTTGAAAAACTAGAAACTACATTTAGATGTTTTAGCAACCAAGGATCTGGCTGTGAAAAAGGGTTCTACCAACTAGACTATGTTCTAGAAATCAGAAGTCAGATGCTTTTCTTCTTAACTCTTTCTCTCTCTGTCTCTCTCTCTCTTTTTCAATATGTTGCTGCTAGCATGCAGAACATGGGATGTGAGTGTTTAGAAGCAATGGCCAGGCTCAGCATTCTACCATCTGGAAGCCATCCCCATAGGTAACCGGAGACAACAAAGCTGTGGCATCAGCAGATGCTGCCCTGTGCTCTGCAGCTTTATGACGTTTGCCTGAATTCAATTGTCCAGCGTTGAGCCCCTGATTTTGGCCTTTCTATTCCTCCCAGAAGTTTTATAAATATCCATTTCCCTTTATTATATTTCATTGTACTTGAAGTACCTGGAATGGTTTCTGTTTCCTAGATTGAAACCTGATACATTTGCCTCTATTAAACTATAACTTTTTTGAATGCAAGAACAGGTGTTTTTCTTTTGACTTTCTTGGGATGACCACAGAGCTGGCTTTCACCAAATAAATGGCTGATTCACTAGATGAGCCAGTAATGACCCAAATGATGCATCACAGTAAACACAAGCCTGTTTACTGACATGCAAACCCCTGACACACGAACCCCTCTTTCAGTGCTCTCCTTCTTTACCTGGCCACCCTTGTCCCTTCCTGCGCTTCAGTCTAGTGATTCTAGTTGTTATATTCCATACACGTATGTCGTGCCCCTTCCTCTGTCTTTTTGTTCCAATGGCTGCTCCCATCTGCAGTGTCTTCCTTCCTTTCAGCCAATTCACATTTACTACTTCTGTCAAGAAAAAACATAAATATCACTCTTTATAATAAATATTCTTTTGCTGATGCCCAACGATGAAAAGAATGTTTACTTCTGGTGCTTTCTGGCATTATGCTTTGCTACTCCATACCAGTTAAAATAATTTTGGCTCCAAGTAAAAGAAAAGCCAACTCTAATTACTTAAACAAAGAAGGATTAAATTTCAGTTGTGTTTTGTAACAAAAAATCTGGAGGTGAGAGATCGCTGAGTTTTGTTTTAGTAATTCAAGAATGTTTGTAGAGGCTTCAAGTAATTTTCTTGACTTTTTCCTCATGGATGCAAATGACACCCAAAGATCCAGGTATTGTTCTTGTATTCAAGGCAGACACATAGAAGGAGGGAGACAGAGCCAGGCCTGCCTGTGCCTTTTAGTATGAAAGCAAAAGCCTTTCTAGAAACCACTTAGCATACTTTTACATCTATCTTATTTCTGAAGACTGGGTCAGATGGTCATCCCTCACTACAGAAGAGTACAGGAAAGCAAGCTTTCAGCTGTGAGATGGAAATAAGACAGTTGGAAATGGCTATTGGGTTACCTAAACCAAAGTGACTACCCTATTTTCTCAATCTTCTACTACCATCACTATTATTTGGGCAAATTCAAGGCCTCATATTTTTCTACAATCTTCAGACATGCTTACCACTGTGCTGCAAACTTGGGCATAAAGATTTCCAGTAATATAAATAACTTAGATTAATGCAATGAAAACTCTAGCCATTGTCTAACATGGAGTAGACTGAGAGAGACAAAAACACACTAATCAGCTTGTCTCACATGAATGCAATAAAATAAGTAAGAAGGGTGTCTTAGTTCACTTTATGTTGCTAATAACAGAATACCTAAAACTGAGTAATTTGTAAAGAAAAGGACTTTATTTCTTATAGAGGCTCACAAGTTCAAAGTCAAGGGGACATATATTGTAGGGGCTTTCTTACTGGAAGGGGCCTTCTTACTGGACTCTCTGCAGAGTCCCCAGGTGGCCCAGGACATCACATAATGAGAGGGCTGAGTATGCTAGTTCAGGTCTCCCTTCCTCTTCTCAGAAAGCCACCAGTCCCACTCCCCTGATAACCCATTAATCTATGAATGAATTAATCCATTCATGAGGGCAGAGCTCTCATTACCCAGTCACCTCTTAAAGGTCCTACCTCTCAAAACTGCCATACGGGGGATTAAATTTTGACATGGGTTTTGGAGGAGACAAATATTCAAGCCATAGCAAAGAGTGTGACTTGTTTTCAGATGTATTTTCCTATTGCCAATTGAGGGTCCTTGGCCTCTTTTAATATCATCAATTTAATAGCATTTCTTTTTGTGTTTATTATAGTATGCCAATGTCACTTCTAAATTCTAGTTCTTAAGAAACGGCCAACCATTGTGGATGGTCGGTAGGTTCAAACATCAGTTTTTTATGCTTATAAAATCTGTCTTGAGTTCAACATACTTGTGAAGAGCAATGAAATGCTGGTTCACATAACAGCTGTTTAAATGAGAGGGAAAGTGTAGTTTGAAAGATTTGAGCCATTATTTGTGACTACAATATGAATTTTACAAACCTGAAATGTTAAGTTAGGAAGAGTTGAAGAGTCTTTTCTCCCAAACAGGCTTTCCTTAAAATCAGTACCAACCATAAGATGATCAAATGGCATTCTCATTTTAAATTTCCCCTTCCTGCCATTCCCCCAGTATTTTTAACAATGAGATAATGTTAAAATGAATCTTGAGGCAGGGTTGAAGGATATGGATGAAATAAGCAATCACAAAAGTACTCCTGGTGGAGAAACGAGGTTTGCCTTTATGATGGCAGAGTGGCTAAACAGTGTTGAAATCGGGAGGTGGGGAAAGGCTTTTGGTGGATTCTGTGCAGTGACTTTCAAGCCTCTTTTTAATCACAATCTAATGGATTCTCTCTGTCCTTGTCATGCAGGCTAACCAGTACTGCCTGGTGCTTTGGGGCTAGCCACTTACCGTAGGAAGTCTCTGCTCAGATTATTAGAAGGAGTGCTTCTGCAATAATCACCCCCTTCCCTCTGATAAAAATTAGATATTACAGCCTTTACTAATTATAGGCTGGTGGCTCCGGTGCCCTTCCGATGGTAAATTGCTTTGAGATAGCAGCTGGAAGTTGGGTAGTAAAATAAATCCAGAAGAGGCTTGTCAAGCTTTTCTTGTCCATAAAATAAAAATAAAATACCATATTTGTGAAGTTCTATAGAAGGAAAAATTGGAAAGATAGCTCAAGTTGCTTAGTAAAGAGAATTTTGCTGTCAAAACATCGCCACATCAGCCACTGTTAAAACAAAAACGCAATCAGGAAAATTACTTGAAATGTTTATGTTTACTTCCAGTTTTGAAATTAGAACATCATGTTCCTTTGGGTTGCCATTCAAATCTCTCTTCCTCTCCTGATTCCCATAAATGTAGTAGTTGATAAACTCCTCTCTTTGGAAGTAGAATGACTACTCCAAAACTATTTTTTATTTTTTCTTTTCTGAGAGCTTCACTGCCTGTATGATGCCTGGAAATTACAAACACATCTAGTTCAAGTTCTTTATTTAAAAGATGTTTGTTTCTGACTTTATGACTATCATGTAAAATCTTTGCTGAGTATTATTGAACTACCTTTGTTTCCAAGTCAAAAGACATTGAATCAGTTGGGTTTTGGTAACTTAAGAACTCAGTGCTTTGTAAGTAGAGAAACACCATTTATTTACACAGCTGTTCTACACATCCGTGCAGTCCTTCCTCATATTTATCTACCCACACCAATCCCGCAACCCTACCTTCTACCTGCCTAGTTCTATCTTTTGGAGCAATACAGAATATCTAGGCACTTAGCCAGGCCAGCAAGTGCAATAGCTGCATGTCAGCTGACAGGTAAAAAAGGTTAGTGATCCATTCAGGTGGGGGCCGCTATTCTCACCTAGGGACAAGTCTCTATATTAAAGTCCAAATTCTGTTCTGATTGTCTTTAGTCTTCCTTTTGTATTATCTCCGGCTTGGCACTTCTGTTTTTCATTTTTTCTTCCAAATAGAAAAAAACATGATCAACCCAAGAGACACAGGAAAGTAAGCGCTAGGATTACAGGACAGAGCACCCTTACCTCTGGTTGTATGTAACACAATGGACAAGCAAAGAGAACTACCCACTTACCTTCCCCGCACTGTCCTGCTTTGCCGCCCACGTTCCCCCACAATCTTGTGTAAGTGTGTAATCATTTCGAATCAAATTCTAATCCCAGTTTTGGGCTCCATTTTACCCCTGGGGAGTGACTGAGAGGAGCAGGGTGGGGAACAACCGTCTGAGAAGGTTACATAAACCTCAATTCCAGGAAAACCTAGCTCAGATGCATCATTCTCAAATTGTGGCTCCAAGACCAAGCAACAACCAACCTCGGAGACAACTGGGTCGACGGTGCAGGGGGAACTTCGCGGTCCCGCCGCAAGGGGGAGCACGTGTTTGCTGAGCCCGGCCTCTGCGCGTGGGCGTGGACGTGGGTGTGGGGGCGGGTGCAGGCGAACGGCTGCCGGTCAGGTGTACTTGTCCCGTTGAGTTGCGCGGGTCGCGTTCGAGGGCATGGACGACAGGTACGCTGCGCTTCGGCGGGCCCAGCTGCATCTGGATTTCATCCATGCCAACTCGTGAGTGCCGAGGTGGGGTCGGGGTCGGGGTCCGGGAGGGTCTCTGCGCCACGAAGAAAGGTTTTGCCGGTTCCGTGAGGAAATACTCAACAAGTGAACTTGATTTATGGATTTATTTATGTGTTTGAGCTGTATAGGCTTTTTTAAAACCATGAAAGCGTGATAAAGATATATTCTGGGGCAGGCTGAACGCTTTTGGTACTCTTCAGTGAACACCAAGTGGATGGAAGGCCCCCCATTTATCATTTAACACAACTGTTTAATTGTTGGTCGGCAGAACCGTGATTCCACCAATCCTGCCTAACCTTAGTCGGCCTAACTCACTGACAATTTAAACATGAAAGTTGCCCCTCAAACACAGTAATTTGCAGATATTGATTTCAAACTCTGTGGCCTCCTGAGTCTTTTCAAAAATGTAACCTCTCTAAGGATAGGAATCTCACCTTTTAGTTATTTGGTCATTTCTTCTTCTCTGCCGTGCCTGTCTGCCTTTTAGAGCTTCTCAGGTGTCATTTCAGATACTCGGATTGCAGAGGAGAACGACAGAGGTGTTTTCTCTAATCTGCCATTTCCCATACAGCAAATTACAGCAGTTAGTGCTGTTTAATTCACAGTGGTACGTCAGGGTTTTTCTTTTTCTTTCTTTCTTTTTTTTTTTTTTTGTTTGGCATCTTTTGGTTATTTGGATTTACTAAATATATGGACTGATATCAGGGATGTACCAAATTTGAAACCACAAAAGTGGAGGTATAAAGAAAGCCAGGGAAGGCCAGCCTTGCTGTGTGGGACAAACTGTGTAATTTTAACATAACAGAGTTAAACAGGCAATATTCAGCAGATACTCAGTTTTTATGTCTCTACAGAGAATGATGTCAAGCTGGAAAAGGTGGAACAAAAAGTTAAAAGGTAGTTGAGGTGGAAGACAAATGAAGAAATAATAGTTTTGAGTGAATTTAAGAAAAATGCTCAGTGCGGTGCTGGAAGGACTGTGAATTTTATCTCAGAAAAATTCCTCAGCCCTCAGTTTTATATGGATTTTGTGGCTACTGCTTCACAACCTCCATTCCCCCAAACCACCCTGTGGTAGCCACTTCCCCAGTCCCATTTTCAACTAGTGGTGTAGTAACTTAACAAGTGACAGCGACATGGAGTAACAACAAAATTAGATACAAATCGAAGACTTCTCAGCTCCTCCAGGTAGATTGGTTGGTTGGATTTGGAGACAGGGTCTTGCTCTGTGGCCCAGGCTGGGATGCGGTGATATGATCATAGTTCTCTGTAGCCTCGAACTCCAGAGGTCAAGTGATCCTCCAGCCTCTGCCTTCCGAGTAGCTGGGACTACAGGCATGCACCACTATGCCCGACTAATTCTTTTTTTTTAATTTTTAGTAGAGATGGGGCCTGGCTATGTTGCCCAGGCTGGCCTTGAACTCCTGAGCTCAAGTGATCCTCCCACTTCGGCCTCCCAGAGTGCTGGGATTCCAGGCATGAGCCACTGAGCTCAGCCTAGATAGATTGTTGTTTGAGACTTCCTTCTGCAAAAGGAGTGATTTTTAAATTTCTCCCTTTACCTCTATGTCCAATCCATCAAGTGCATGCTTTCTCTAAATATGTTTCAAATCATCCATTTCTCTCTGTCTCCACTGCCATTGACTTTAGTCCAAACCACCACCATCCCATGTCCAGACTACTCCAGACAGCCTCTTAACTGGGTTCTTTGCTTTCCGTTCTGGCTGCTCGATGGTCCTTTTCCTGGAAAGCTGCCAGAGTGAACTTTTTAAAATGTAAACCAAATTATGCCCCTCTTCTTAAAACACTACAGTGGTTTCCAGTTGTATGTCAGCCAATTACAAGTTCTTCTCTGTGGGCTAGGAAGCCCTGCATGACCCAGTCATGCTCTCATCTCAAGCTGTTCTCCCCATTTTACCATAAGTGGAGCTCACTGGTCTTCTTAGCTCTTCTGCTTCGAGGGTGTTTGCATCTCTTGCTCTTGCTAGAAGGTTTCTATCGTACTCTGTAAGGGAGTGAATTCTCTCATCCTTCAGGACGCAGTTTAAATACCTTTTACTAAGAGGTGCTTTCCCTACCACCATGCCCCTCCTTACCAGTTACTCTTACCCATCACTACTATGAAGGTAGCACCCAGTCAAAATCTGTAATATCATCTTTATAAGTTTGTTTGCTTGTGTGTTTTCCATGTACCCCACCAGCTTGAGCTCCAAGACATCCAAGACCCTACCTGTACACATGGGCAATGGTAGGCAGTCAGGTACAATCTCTCGAATGAGCTAGTGCAGAAACTCATTGATGTTTTGGTCAGAATTACTGCAGTTGCTTTTCTAAAGGATTGTTTATGTATTGAATTTTTGTATATTGAATCATGTACTTTAAATTTCCTAGAAGGGCTTGTGATTTAAAGTCCTGATTTTGTAAAGCATATCATACTTCTCTTTTACACTATTTTCCATTTTTATAATGACTTTCTTTTGGGTGAAGGACATCTTTTTGTAACAATAACATTTTAGTCCTTTTTTTTTGTTAATTACAAAATTTAAAGCTTACTGGACTCAAGAGACTTTTAATCAGCCTCTGTGTTTGAAACTTCAAAATATGGGGATATATTCTGTGTGTGTGTGTGTGTGTGTGTGTGTGTGTGTGTGTGTGTGTTTTAAAAATACATTTTAAGCTAAAGTGTTGTCCTGTGTCCTGAGGTGTTTGGAGACTCCGAGACATTGCAGATGATGCTTTCTCTTGTATAGAAGAGCAGATGTGTTTTTGATAAATGAGGCTCTCTTACTTCTGTTACCTGTTTACTAAATATAGGAAGAAAATTGCATACTGAATATTCCCTTAATGCTGTGATAAGGTTGCTGATTGAAATATCCGCATCAGGAAATTAGAGGCAAGCTTGGGAGCCTTAAGCTAGTGTGATTCCACCCTCAGATAACTATGCAACCTCCAAAATGTTGTAAATACTGAAGGCTGACTGGAGCATTTTGTTACCGAGGACTTGGCATTGGAGGGTACAGGAGAGAGTGACCTGAGGCCGTTTTTGAGGTTATTTAAGGAGCAGGCTTCAGCGGAAAGATTCCCCAGAAAAATACAGATTGGTGAGGCACGCAAGGGCTTCCTGCCAATTCCTTTGCCTGCAGATGGAGCCTTATGGCCTTTTAGTAGGCAAGGATTTTGATCAGTATTCTTCAGAAATATTTTGTCTTTAAATAATACAATTTTAATGAAAAATCCTCTGGGGAAAAAACTCACTTGAAAACATGCTTATAAAGTAATATTAAAAGGTCAAAGTTTATTTCAGTGATAGACACTAACACCCTTAAGTTTTTATTTTATTAGAAGTGGACAGGATATTTTGGCAAAAGTGTTTTTAACCCTGGCTTCATAATGGAGGGTATCTAGTTCCAAATCTTGACCGTGCTGAGAGAGTTGTTTCTAGAGTAACTTCTTAATTCATTAGATGTCTGGAACTGGAGAACGTTTGTCTGCAAGTATCTTAAAGCTTTTACATTGATTACACACCTGGTTTAACTTTTTGTTTTCTCTTCATTTCTTCATCAGCACCACTCACAGTTTCCTTTTTGGAGCACTGGCTGAATTGCTGGACAATGCAAGGTAAGGTTCAGCTGTGAACAACACTTATTGAAGGAATTTCATGACCAAACTCTTGTCTAGTTACATGGAAAGATAAAAAGATCATGTCATGTTTTCCCATCTGGAATATTTTGTGACTTGATTTCCTACAAAATCAAGGTGTTCTAGGGAAGAGGATAGTTGAGAGAAAGAATTATTCACCTTTATTTAATTTTTATTTATGATCAAACTTGAAGTCTGTTTTTATGTTAATAACCATTTAATAGTACATATTCATTTAGATATTTTTGAATTGTATGTCAGTGTATACTTGTCTTGAGAATTTACACATGGATTTGGGCATTTATTGAAGTCTGCATTGAAGCAAATTGTATGGTTAAGAAAATAGCTAACTTGTTGATCTCTTACTATGTATCAGACATACATAAACACTTTATATAAGAGCATTATGTCATGCATCCTTGCATCTACACTCTGAGATGGGAGTTAATATCCTACCTAGTTCTACATATGTGGAAATTGATGCATAGAGAGATTAGATGATTTATTCAAAGTCACATAATTCATATTTGGCAGAGCTGGCATTCAAATTTTGGCTGTCTGGCTGCAGAACCTCACTACCACATTTTATTGTCTCCAATAAAGGTATTAATGATTAAGGAACCCCTTAGACAATTTAAGTTCTACTCAGTAGTGTATTTGTGGGAGCTTATGAGGGGATAATTTTTTTTTGTTTAGTTAAATTGAATAAAGCATTTGACATGTTTTATATTGGTATACCCTTTAACAGAAGATTTTTCCTACTTTTTCCTTAGAAAGCAAAGTCCATCCAGGAGGTAATATGCAGTTGGTAGATCAAGGTTCTCAGTAGAAGCCTAAATTCCCTGCCATTGGTTGATAACAGTATTTTAGCTTTTTTGTATTTGTTCCCCGTTTTTTGCCTTAGATGGGAGATGACCCTTCTGAGAGTGTGACCACAAAGTGTAGTCAATTAACCAGCCATCCAGAAATTCCTGCCCTGCACTAAGTGGAAAGTCGTCATCTGCTCCTTTTAGGAAACTCTGTCTGTTGAGCTAATGGAATCATAAAAAGGGAGGGAAGTGGAGAAAAAGAATAAAGTCTGTTGTTCAGAGCCGTGAGCTCAGCTTGGAAGGAGCTAATAAGGATGAAGCCAAGGCAGATGAACACTTCTGATTAGTTTCCCTAAAGGAGCTTAGGGTTGCTACTGTTTCTTCTGCTCAAAGCTTGGAAGCAAGGATCTTCTTATGTCATCGGTCCTGCCTCCTACTGAATGGCCCACTTTCAGCAACTTGACATCTGAAAGTCTGAAAGAACACATTTGTCGATTTTTCCAACTGTCTTTTCTCCTTTGAAGTTGTTTATTTCAGTCATTCAACAAAGGAGGACAAGTAAAATCAGAATGTGGAAGAAGTAGAACAATGGAAGCAGTTTCTTAGTAGAGGGTGATTGGGAAAGAAAGATTGACTTCAGACATGTGATCCATCAGCCGATTCTTAGAGCAGCATTTGTAAGCTGGCAGCCCCCTGACCAGGTCCAGCCTGTCTTATGTGTGTTTGGCTCATGATGAAAGTTTGCACAGTGTTGATAAAGAAAAGGAAGGGAGAAAAAAGGAATTATTTATAAGGTTTAAGATGTTGGAGATACCAAATAAAAACTTTGGGCCCTCCGCCTTCCTTGAAAGATTAGGAGAAGTAGCAATCTCAAGGCCACATTCCTCCATGGGATCAGGGGCTGGAGGTGAGTAGCAGGTTCCCTCGTGGGACCAGCCTGTGCCTTCAGCTTTGCCTCCAGTTTTCCCCCGTGGCCAACCTCAGCCCTTTAGTCCCTCTTTCTTCATGGACGTTTGAGTTTTCCACCACTGCTTAGGTGCTAGTGTTTGACATCAGAAGAAGCTATTTAGCAGACTTAAGATACTCAGTTGGTCTTATGAAGGAGAGTCCCCATGTTATTCTAAGAAATTCTTTTATATCATTGTACTCATTATGTTAATGATTTCCTGTAGTTTTAAAAATTAGAACTGAAAGATATTAAAAGAATATTGTAGAGAGAGGAGAAGAATATGTGGTGATATAGGAAGGATTTGTTAGGGCCCGCTTCCTAATACAAGAGCTCTTCAGAGAGGAAGTGTCCTGGGCTAAAGAACAAAGATTATTATAAAATGTCTTAATATATGATAAAGGTGAATTATTTTATGCCTTTATCTGTGGAAGTGCTGCATAAAAAACCTCTCTTTAAAAACTTCCATTTCAATACATTGGCATTTATTAAGCGTTTATTGCGTACGTGGTACTTTGTGTAATGCATGATTATATAATGGAGATATTGATACCTATGTGTTACAGAACTATGGTAAGGATTGGAAGAGAATTTTCAAAAATATATCATTCAGTGCTTACTTGGTACATGGGAGGTGCTCAAGAAATGGCAGTGGTGACTCCAGAGTGTCTATATAGGGAGGACTGAGAAGCAGCAATTGGCTAGAGGAAGGAGCTATATGGGAGTAACTTCTAGGCCTGTGGAGCACGAGCAGTGTACCTACTCAGATTTGTTTGGGGTAGTTTTGGGTTTAGAACTGATGGAACTTTTGAGAGACGCTCAGGTTTCCCCATCAGAGTTACGTAGTTCCTGTTGTTGCACTGAGCTTCCTTTTAGACTCCTCCCTGCCTTAACTTACCTTCTTATTCATCAGCTAAGTCTTCTTTCCCTATGCCTTCTTCCCTTCTGTCACATCCTCGGTATTGAAGCCAGAGTCTTCTGGCCCTTTCTCCTTTTGTATTAAAAGTTTTACTTTTAAAAATAATTGTAAAAAAATACAAAAATAATATCTGAATTTTAGAAAATGGAGATTTTTTTTTTTTTTTTTTAAAAACAATCTTCATCACCTAGAAGAGGGGTCAGCATCCTTTTCTGTAAAAGACCAGATGGTCAATATTTTCACCTCTGTGGAATATGGGGTCTCCTTTGAAACTACTCAACTCGGCCATTGTAGTGCTGAGGCAACCTTAGATACTATGTAATGAATGGGCATGATTGTATTCCAATAACACTTTATTTACAAGCAGTTGATGGGCCATTTTGGTCCATGGCTGTAGTTTTCCAATCTCTAACATAGAGAAAACTCCTATTAGCATTTTGATTTCTTTCCTTCCATGTATGTTCTTTAAAACGTCTTCTTATAGTACACTATTGCCTAGTAATTTGATTTTTCTTTATTTTGGAACTAAAATATGAAAAACATTCCATGACTTCTGGATTATTTGCCAGCCAGCTTTTTTTGTTGTTTTTTTTAAAAAATTATATCCATTTTGTTAGTTTTTTTGTGTAATTCTCACTAAATTCCATCTCTTCTTTCACATTTCTGAATTGCAGTCTTTTTCATATTCTCAAATTATGACTAATCGTAGGTCTTATGATATAATAGCACAGTGAAACATGTTAGAAATTGATTTTGAAGCAGTTTAAGTGGATTTTTGTATTGTTTGATATCTGACAGTAGGTTATACCTTATGTAAGCAATTCATTTCATCTTGAAGCAATAATATGTTTATATTGTTTCCAGAGATGCAGGCGCTGAAAGGCTTGATGTCTTTTCAGGTGAGCAGATTTGCTTTTTTCTTTTATATTCTTCTGATGGAAAGCCTGTAGTTATTTGCTTGTATTTTATTTCATGAAATAAAACCACATTCTATAGCATTTTAATGTAATCTAAGTGCTTTGTGGGTACAGTGACCCTGTGGGGAGCCAGGGTGAGGAAAGTATACTCTGAGAGTCAAATTGTGTGCTAAAGGACCCATTTACAAAATTAGGTCTTCCAGAGTTTTGTGAATGTATCAGAGGGATTTGGAACACTCAATTTGCTGCCATGAGAAACAGTTTTATTTTTAAAAAGCATACTAAGTTAATGGTTATTTCATAATTAAGCATACATCATTCCCAACTGATTAGTTTTAAAGTGTGTACGTGAATGTGTGGTATGAGGGCTAGAAAATCTGTTTTCTTTGCTGACTTGATTCGTAGTCATCAAGTATTTTTGCACTCATTAGTTGTCTCATTAGACTGTGATGCTAATGAAGTTAGGTTCTGTGATCCAGCTGTGTAGTTAACACTACCTAGAGAAATGCCCAGGTAGTAGCGCTGCATCCCTATTACTTTTCTGTCAGCTGTTCTGCAATATTGGCTACTGGTCACGGGTGAGAGGATATGCTCCATGATCTAAATCCATATCTCTGTTTAAAAAGCACCTCAGTTAACTGAGTGTTCTGAGCCAGAGGAGTGCTTATGCTTCATGAGGAAGGTAGACGTGGACCTCTTGAGATAACTGAGGAAACAATAAATGACGCTCTTCATCTCCTTCTCCTCTCCAGGTCCTAAAAAACTTGAGAAATAAAAAAAGAGTCAGCCTTTACTGCTGATAAATGTTAGGCTGGAGTATGTAACTTAATGTGAGAGAGCAAATGGACTTGCAGATCAGACCCTGGGCAGACTTACCCGCCCAGTGGAGTTGGGCTTCCTCTGAAACTTGTCTGCCCTGGGACAAGGGGTCAGGACTCATGCTGTCTGCAGGCAGCTTTCTCCCAGGAGGAAAATGCAGGGTGGGAACTGAGCCTCCCAGTTTATTCTTCCCTAAGTGACCAGTAGGTGAGTGAGCTCACCTCCACAGGGAAAAAGTGAGTGAAGGCACAGAATAGGGCCTTTCTAGTGAGAAAAAGTCATCTTCTCTTCCATATCCAATTATATAGAGTAAACTAGGATGAACACTCTTGCCTAGGAGAGACTCAAAGTATGGTGGGAACACAGAGAAAGAAGAAATTATGCCTCCTATTAAGGGGCTAGAGCTTGAAATATGGATGTGATTTTTGTCAGATACTCCAGGAAGAAAAGAATATTCCTGTCTAGATAATAATTATGAGAAAACAAATGGATGTAGGCTAGTTCACAGATTCATTAATTTATTCAGGAATAATTTATTGTCTACTATTCTAGGTGCTGGGGATAGTGCACTGAGCAACATGTTGAGGTCTGTGTTCCCCTGGAACATGTATCCTAATGGGGAGAGATAGACAGCACAGAAATGAACAAATACGTAATGTACCAGGCAATGATAAGTGCTAAAAGGGAAAAACATAAAGCAGGATAAGAAAACAGAGAGCCATGGAAGGGGTATACAGTTTTTCACAGGGTGGTCTAAGAAGGTTTCTTTAAATAGCTAATGTACCAGCAAAGACCTGAGTGATGTGAGGGAGGGAGCCACACAGATACCTGGTGAAGAAGCACTCAGGGAACAATGCTGAGGCTCGCTTGACTCGCACTGAGTGTCAGAACCAAATGAATGAGCGTCTTCAATACCATACTAAGGTTTTTTCTGCAGTCAGTGGACCACTGAAGAATATTGAGCAGTGTCAGTTTTCTAAGTAGACATGTACTCTTTTCTTTTTTCAAAGAAGGATACTCATTCCAGAAATACCTTATAAGAGAGTCTGGAGAAGTATGAAAGCAAGGATAGCAGGGAGATATGGCTATGGGAATTACCTAGGCAAGATTTCCTGAGAATTATAATAGGGCAATAGTACTAGCAATGGAGGAGGAGGAACAGATGTAAGCTGCATTTCCTTCAGCGCACACACACAATTGATGGAGGGTTGAGAAGACTTATCCATAGTCACAAAACACAACAAATGTAATCAGAATCCATGCATTATATTCTTTGGAGTTTGTGACTGGAGACCAGCAGGGAATGAGAGCGTTTATTTCACCCCACGTTCTCTAAGTACTCAGCATCATCATAAACAAACAAAATAAGATCTTGACCAAGTTGTGATTAAAGTGGCACTTCTTCTTTTTTTTTTTTTTTTTTTTTTTTTTGGTTTCTCACTCTGTTGCCCAGGTTGGAGTGCAGTGGCACCATCTCGGCTCATTGCAACCTCTGCTTCCCAGGTTCAAGCAATTCTCCTGCCTCAGCTTTTCCAGTAGCTGGGATTACAGGCCCACACCCGGCCAATTTGTGTATTTTTAGTAGAAATGGGGTTTCATCATGTTGGCCAGGCTGGTCTCAAACTCCTGACCTCAAGTGATTCCCTCTGCCTCAGCCTCCCAGAGTGCTGGGATTACAGGCGTGAGCCACCACGCCTGGCTGGCACTTCTTTTTTGTGTTTATGTGTATTTTGCAAAAAACTGAACTTGTAGTTCAGTTTGGTTTAAAATTACCTATTCATGTTTTTATTGATTTACCTATTCATTTTTTATTGAGGCAAGCCATCATATGGCTATCAACCTAGCAAAGTGATTTTCTTAAAAAAATGGATAAAAAAGGCAGGGACAATGCTTATGCATCAATACATAGAATTATTCTGGGGATACAAAGTTAATCTAAGATTGGACTAGTTTTCAAATAATTTACTGTGATCTTGAATTATTGTCAGTCTTAAATTTCTGTCAAGTAATTAATTTGAAGGCTATAAAATTCAAATGAAATATGTTTCACTGTGGTGTTTTATACGTTTGTGTGTATTAGTTCCAGTAAACATGGATATGCATTTGGTACTTTTTTTTAGAGCTTACTAAATGCCAGGCACTGGGCTAGGTGCTGGGTTTACACTTTTAAGGAACTGGCATTTTAGTGTGGAGCCCATGAAAAATGCAGTATGTAGCTGTACTTTGGTGGGTAGAGGGCCCATAGCTTTCCTCATATCTCCGAGGGTACTGTGTTCCAAAAAAGTGTAGGAACCATTGGTCCAAAAGACAAATAGATATATGAACAGGTATTTTAATATACTACAAAGGTGGGAAAACAGAGATAAAGGGGACATTAATTATGGGCATTAATGACATGGAAGGATTAGGAAAGGCTTCCTAAAAGAAGTCTGATATGAACTAATTGAAAGAGAAAATAGGCATTCACCTGGTGAGTGAAGCGTGGAAAGGGTGGAAAGGCATTATATGCAGCAACTGGAATATGGAGACAATGTAGAAAAAAATGTTTGAGATGTTAAAGATTTATTCAAGGGAAGTATTTGTGCGGGAGTGGAAGGTGGCAGTATGGGCAGGTGAGGGGAAGACAGAAATGACCTTGGAGAGTTATCCAGAGGGCCAGGTCATGGAGGACAAACAGGATTTATTAGGTGGTTGGATTTTATCCTGAGAGCAGTGGGAAGCCATGGAGAGGTTTTAAGCAGGAGAGCAATGAAATACACAACAGATGGAAGACTGGCTGCACCCTATGACTGCAGGGAGAGCAAGAAGGTAGGGAGCTGTTGTGATCCAGAAAAGAGATGGTGGTTTCCTGAACCAGACAGTATGCTGGGGATAGAGAAAGTGGTCAAATGGGAATAATTAAGGCAGTGAAATCGAGAGGACCAGATAGTTGCCCATGTGTGGGGTGAGGCGATGGAGAACATAATGATGATCCTGAGGTTTTGATTTGGACAACTGAAGCTTTGGGGCAGGGTGATGCCATTTATTGAACAGGAAACAAGAAGGAGGAGAAAGTCTAACATGGGAGGAGGTGTCTGTTTTGTTTTGGACATACGTAATTAACAGGTGATAAAATATACCTGAAATTCATAGTTTTAAGGAATTGAAATAAACAAGGCCAGGTTTCAGAGTGGATAATGGGGAGTATTAAATTTTGAGGCTGTACTTGTTTGTCTCCAATTACTAATATGGATTTACAAAAAAGGGAAGTACTGTAGTATATGTCTGCTAGGAATCTTTGGTCTTTCCCAGCCATTTACCGAAGGAATACCCTTCTTTCTGCAAGCTCCTTTCAGGAGAAATATTTACAAAGAAGTGCAAATCAGCTGTGGCGGCTGTGCAGAGCTGCCTGAGGCTGAACCTGGTTTCCAATCCTGGATGAATATTAGAATAACCGAGGGAGATTTTACAAGAAAATACCAATTTCTGAACCCTATCCAAGATCAGTTACATTAGAATATCTCTAGTTGATTTCAATGTGCAACCAAGATTGAGAGCTACTGCCTTATGCAGAGAACTCAGCAGAGTTGGATTCCCCTCATTGAACAGTGAGGAAATATCAACCTCAGAGGGAGGACTAAACAGAACAAATACCTTAAAGGGGGAGAGGAGGAATGTCCTGACACAGAAGTTGAGGTAAGCAGACCAGAGGACTAGGTAGAGAGAAGGAACTGGGAAAATGAAATGGTAGGCCAGATCTTAAACGTTTACAGACAAAGAAGTGAATTAGAGAGAGAAGGGGGAATTAGAAGTGGGCACATCACCATGAAATTATAAACTCAGAAAGATTAAGTATGTTTTATAAGTATGTGTTCATGGGCTATCTTGAAACTTATTTACTTTTTAAAATACTAATTCTAGGTGGCCTTTTTTTTTTATTGAGATGGAGTCTGGCTCTGTTGCCCAGGCTGGAGTGCAGTGGCGTGATCAAAGCTCACTGCAAACTTGAAGTATAGGCCTAAGTGATCCTCCTGTTCCAGCCTCCCAAGTAGCCAAGACTACAGGCATGTGCCACCATGCCTGGCTATTTTTTTTTGAGATGGAGTCTCGCTCTGTCACCCAGGCTGGAGTACAGTGGTGCGATCTTGGCTCACTGCAACCTCCACCTCCCGGGTTCAAGTGATTCTCCTGCCTCAGCCTCCAGAGTAGCTGGGACTACACGCATGCGCCACCATACCCAGCTAATTTTTGTATTTTTAGTAGAGACGGGGTTTCACCATGTTGGCCAGGATGGTCTCAATCTCTTGACCTTGTGGTCCGCCCACCTTGATCTCCCAAAGTGCTGAGATTACAGGCATGAGCCTCTGTGCCCAGCCTATTTTGTTTTATTTTTAATTTTTAGTGGCTATAAGGTCTCACTATGTTGGCCAGGCTGGTCTTGAACTCCTGGGCTCAAGCCATCCTCCGTCCTTGGCCTCCCAAAGTGCTGGGATTACAGGCGTGAGCTGCCGCATCCAGTCTCTAAGTGACTTTTGAACAGAGAAGTTGACTTAATAAATGTGCTGGAAATGAATCTATGGGGATAGAAAGCATATCAGTGATTGCTTGAGGGTAAGGTGAAGGTGATGGGACGTGAAAGGGTCCTAAGGGAGGGTTTACAAAGGGTCAGAAGGAAACATTTGAGGTGTGGATATGTTCGCTGCTGTGATTGTGGTTATGATTTCACACATGTGTGTGTTAAAATTTGTCAAATTGTGCACTTTAAACATGTGCAGTTTATTATGCATAATTTATTCCTTTATAATGTTATGCCCAGACCATTTGTTCCCCAAAGAAGACCACCAGAGTCCAGAGTCAAAGCCAAGCGGCAAGGATCTTTACTACAAGTTCGAACCTGGTCCCTCCATTCCTTTGCATACAAGAGGGCCCTGAACAATGCGAGTGTTTGCTTTTTATAGCCCGAAAGTTACAGGGGAACAAAGGAATTCTTTTGGTTCCCGCGCTTTCAGTAAAACTTTGAACGGCTGCCTCCTTATCGGAGACTTTCCAGGTGGTGTTTGTACTGGGCTCAGGAAGTTTGAGAGATATATGGCGATATGTGGTGGGATGGGAGGATGGGATGTGTTTGTACTGGGCTTGTTTGTTTTGAGCCCGGGGCTGAGGAATGTGCCTGATTTCTTTTCAATAACACTGTCATTTAAGAAAGAGAAATGTCCTAGAACTCATATGTCCAACTACTGAAATTATTTTCAGGGCCAGTTTACAAACTGGGCACTAAAATTAGTCTCATTAGTTTTAGTTGCACCTTTAACTTTATTTATTTATTTATTTTAGAGTCAAAGTCTTACTACCTTGGGCAGGCTGGTTTTGAGCCCCCGGCCTCAAGTGATCCTCTTGCCTTGGCCTCCCAAAGTTCTGGGATTACAGGCATGAGTCGCCACACCCAGTCTACCTCCAACATTTTTGTAAACCAAAGATCATATTATGTAATTTAATGATATCTTTAAATCATCAAAATTGATTTCAAATAACTTAGCCATTTTCAAAGATTATAAATGCGTCTTCAAGAGGTAAATATTTGTTCCCATGAGGAAACACTCACAAATGGCTCTTATGGGAATTAACTACTTAGAAGGGAGCCTGATGGATTTAATAAGAATGGCCTAGATTTATTTTATAATTGTGCCCTGGTGGAAGGGCACAAAAGTTGGTCAGTTTGAGCGAAGGATTCTGGGGTCACTTCACCATCTACCTTTTTCCCTCCCCACAGAGAGGAAATGCCTGACATTTAAAGGACTAGTCCAGTTCCAGAGCAGAACATGTCCTGCTGTATACGTAATTTTTTCACGTGTAGATGTTTTATGTTAATTTAAAGCCTTTATGTTGCATGATTGTTTTTTCCCTGCAGTTTCTTGTGAAGCTGTAGCCAAGACTCCACTCTGGGCTCCATCTTTGTGCCATAACTCTGTTGCTCTGTGGCCGCATTTGAGGAAGACGAGTCATTATTCTAGCAGCACGACTTTCTAACACATTAGCCCGATATTTATTAGTAATAACTGCTTTTTTCTTACAGTGGATAATGAAAACCTGCAGGGGGGCTTCATGTTGTGTTTCCTGGATGATGGATGTGGCATGAGCCCTGGTAAGTTAATTATCTAGATACCTAACTGGCTGTTAAAGGAAACAGTCTGAAAACCTACAAAATAAATAAAAATAAATTGAGCTATCTATGCAAAAACAGGTATGGGGCTATTAAGGGAAATAAGCCCCAGACTTTTTGTTGAAGTTTTTAAGTATCCCAGCTGGCAGAGTGAATCTATTGTAACCATCTAAACCAAGACAAAAAGTAAATGTATGTAAATATTGTCAGAAAAATGAAAGGCAAATGTTACTGATTGTAGGAAATAAGCATCTGGGAATGAATGGAAAACAAATAGTCACTGAATGGACTCTGAGATTGTTTTTAGCTCGCCCTTTAGGTATTGCTTGGGAGATCCCCAGGCCGTTTCCTGTGCCTTTAGGCTATTTTTAATTTTGCTTACCCTTGAGGTAGAGGTTACCTCTCCTTGCTTTTAGCCTTGTTTTCACCTCTGCATTTTGGAAAATTTAGTTGCTTCAAATGAATGTTCCCATCATAAGGAATACATCTAAAATATATTTCATGACTTATCTTTGTGTATTCAAGGTTAGCACAAAGCTAGCACAGTATGGGCACACAGTGTCTGTGTGCTGTGAAATTGAAATAGGATTCCATCTGAGTGCGTTGGGCTGTTTTAGATTTATTGTTTTCCTGAAATCTTTAAACACGGTGTGTTCCACAAACTACGGTTTAGGACCGCTAGATTTTAAAAATGGTGAGAGAGTTCAAGTAATACGGAACTGCCGTGGTCTGTTCCACAACCGAGGAAAGGATGCGTCAATATGCTCAGATATTGATTTGCTGTTAGAAGCTGAGAATATGAGACATGGCAAATATGTGATTTTGGCTCTGAAGTTTCCCCTTGGTCTGAATACTTGAAGAGTATTTATTATTAAGTTTAGAAAGACTATTACACTCAGTTTTGTTTTGACTTTGGATGATTTTGATTTTTCCAGGTCATTTTGATTAAAAGTATTCTTGGTCTTTTAGTGTTTAACTAAAGGAGAAGGAAGAGTTTGTAACAACAACAACAACAACAACAAAAACCCGTGCTGAAAAAAGTGATTTTTCTCTTCTAGCCTGAATGTTAAGTTCCTGTTTTTGAATTCCTAAAATAAATGATAGAATATATGTGATATATTCTAAGGGAATTCCTTATGAAAAGAAGCAACTCTTTTTATATGGGTCATGAAAAAAATGTTAGAAACACAGACAAGTGATGAATATTCAGACCTTCAGAAGGAGCTCACACTTCAGTTACATAGTAGCATCAAGTAGTAATAAAGTAGAAGGAAGATGACTAAAAGTAGAATCTATCCCTTGTTCAAAGGGAGCTACATCAATCTGGACCCATAGAAAATGACTACAGTACCTTCTGGGTTTTTAAAAAATTCTCTGGTCTTGCCCCTTTACAGTCTGTTCCCCACACAGCATCCTGAGTGGTTTTGTTTCTTTTAATGTACATTTTATTATATTATTTTCCTATTGAAAACCCTCAGTGGTTTTCTATTACTTAATACAATTTGTACTCTCAGCATCTCTTCCAAGGGCCTTACATTATTTGGCTCTGTGCATCTCTTTGGCCTTTTCTTGTTCTTCCCACTTCCTCGCTTACAACATTCCACCCACACATGGCTGGCCCCTCATCATTTGAATCCATCTCATGTTAACCATCTGGCAGTGGGCTTCCCTGATCATTCTGTTTGCAGGCCACATTCCTGTTAATTCTCTATCCCTTTACCCTGGTTTTGTTTTCTTCACTTAATACTCTCAGTCAGAAATGATCTTGTTTATTAGTTTACTTTCAATCTGTTTCTCCTACCGCAACATAATGTTGTCCAAGGCAGGAGCCATGCCTGGCCTGTTCAGTGGTTTATTCCCATACTCAGAACCTGGTAGCCATGCGTGTGAGTTCGTGTAGTGTGTAATGAACACATGGGATTTCGTTCAGAGCTATACTATGTCTGTATCAAGACTTACAACTTTGGGTTATAATCCTAACTGTACCGTCTATCAGCTCTGTGACCTTGGGCAGGTTTTTAAAACTCCTTAGACTTACATTTGCTCATCTGTGACTTGCAGGTCATAATAATAATAATACCTTTCTTGTTTTGTTATGAATATTAAATAAACTGTGCATGTAAGTTTACAACGTAGTACCTAGCACATACTAAACAATCAATAAGAACTAGCTAATATTGTCATTATGGATATCCTCACCTAATGCCTAACCCCTCATAGGAACACATCGTAGAAGGTCCAGTTAGTTTCAGAGAAGCAGAGTGTTTGGTGGCTTCTACACACCTCATACCATGTGCCACTGAACTGTAGCATGTCTGTACCGAGACTGACACAGGGTCCTCAGGACAGTTCTTCAGCATGTATTCAGGTAGGCCAACAGGAAGAACATTCTTGGTCCTGGAGGTTGCTATTAATATATTCTGAAGTCCAAAGGATTACTGTGTAGAATTCCAGAACACGTGGAGAGGTTAGGAGAATGACTTGGAACGTCTGAGATGATTAGCCTTCTTTCCCAGGTGGTATCTGAGCAGAGGCCATCCTGCCCCTCTTAGTCTCACACGGGCCTGGTTAAGGGTTAAATTTGTGGGGAAATTACTAGTGGTACAAATAATCACAACACTTATAATTTGGTAACACCCACCAAGTGCCAAGTTTTGTGTTCAGGATTTCACAAATACATCATCTCATTTAATTTGTTTCATTTTTCTTCATCAGCAACACTGTGATATAGGTCTTAAGTAGTTCCCTCTTCCAGAACATGGAAATTAAGGCTCAGACTTTTAAACTCTACCTCAGGCCACAGGGTTAGGTCTGTCTCATCTCTTTCAGTGTACAGTTGTTTCTTGGTATCTGTAGGATATTGATTCCAGGACCTTTCTAGGATACCAAAAGCTGTGGAAAGAAAATGGCCCGGTGTTTCCATATAACCTATATGCATCCTCCTGTATACTTTAAATCTTCTCCAGTTTCCTTATAATACCCAATGCAGTGTAAATGCTATTAAATAGTTGTTAAACTTTATTGTTTAGAGAATAATGACCAAAAAAAAAAAAAGTCTGTACATGTCAGTCCAGATGCAACTTATTTTTTTCTGAATATTTTCAGTCCGAGATTAGTTGAGTCCGTGAATGTGGAGCCCGCGGTACCTTGGGCTGACTGTAATACCATTAGGACCCTTGTCAGAGACTATGGATCCTGATGAAAATCCTTGTCTCTGGGCTGACCCAAGAGCTAGCGATTTGCCCTGATGTTCTGAGGAATGTGAGATCCTGACAACTGGGCCTCAGGCCAGTGTCAAAGAGTCTTCCTAACCACCTTAAAAGTCACTGTCAATTACAGAGGAGGCTTCAGACATCATTTACTTTGGACGATCCAAAAAACGGCTGTCAACCTTGAAGTTCATAGGGCAATACGGCAATGGTCTTAAAAGGTGAGAATCTTTTTTTCCCTTAAGACATATATTATTGATACTGGGAACACTGTTTATAAAGCAGTTTACACAGAATGATGCAGGCATGTAAAGCTTTAAAAAGAATATAAACTTGAGGCAGGGGTGACCTACTTTGTGTTATAATCTCCATATACAAAACTGACTTTTTTTTTTTTGAGACAGATTCTCATTCTCTCACCCAGGCTGGAGTGCAGTGGCATGATCTCGGCTCATTGCAACCTCCACCTCCCTGGTTCAAGCGATTCTCCTGCCTCAGCCTACTGAGCAGCTGGGACTACAGGCATGAGCCACCATGCCCAGCTTATTTTTGTAGTTTTGTAGAGACAGGGTTTCACCATGTTGGCCAGGCTGGTCTCAAACTCCTGACCTCAAGTAATCAGCCCGTCTCAGCCTCCCAAAGTGCTGGGATTACAGGCATGAGTCACCATGCCCAGCCCGTAACTGACTTTTATCATTACAGCATTTTAAGTTAATTCTCCCAAATAATAAGATAAATCCTCTTTCAGAGATCCCTGAAGCAGTACTCCTGGACTTTAGGGCTTTGTTGCATCTCTATGTTCTGTTGTTTCTTAAAGCATATTTTAACCTAGGTGCTGTGTCTGCAGCTCATTTTTTCAGTGTGCTGCATTGTAAGGTGAGGACATGAGGCTCACTTGTACGACTCCTGCCTGAGACAGATGATTGTTCTTTCGAGCCCTGAATGGACCCTTTCCCCAGCAACCAAATCGCAAGCGAAAGTGTGGAGCTGGCTTAGTTCAAATTCTTCTGCTTTGCTTTGAAAGAAAAGAAATTGTACCCTCTTGATGACGGGTCAGCAGAACAGTGTTGGAAAGAACATCCTATTACAGTACACAGTGGTAACAGCCTGCCTGTTTCTTCCTTTTTAGTATTTGAGATGTAAAACATGATGTTCTTCATTTTCAATACAGTGGGTCCATGAGAATTGGAAAAGACTTTATTCTTTTTACGAAGAAGGAAGAAACGATGACCTGTGTGTTTTTTTCTCAGACGTTCTGTGAAGAAGAAAGTCTTAGTGAGGTAAGAGTTGAGGTTTTCCTTCTGTTCCCATAGCAATGATGTTGCTTTCATTTACTCTCTCAGGAGGTGAAGTCTTGTCATGGGTTCTTTCTGATATGATTTAGAAACTTAGGAATATGTTTGGGAAATGGAGAGAAGGTATCAAGACATTCTGGGGACATCAAAGACCTGTCCTCTTAACCCTTTCCTGAGAACTTCATTTTCATTATCCATATGCTCGAATCTCCCAAAAGAAGAGGCTCTCTTAGACATGATGAGCTTTTTAGAAGAAACCTGAAAAATCTTTCCACCATATGTGCCATAAATGGATTATCATTTTAAAAATAAAATATTGGAGTCAAAGACTTGGAATACAAAATGTAAAGAAATTGAATGCAAAGTAGACTTAAAACTGTAACTCTGGTGACCAGAATTTCAACTCCATTTGCTGATCCAGAGGCATTTGCTGCCTCTGGATCCATTTGCTGAACCAGTGCTTGAGTTTTATTAGTATGACTATCAGTTATAATTCAATACAACAAATACACGTTGAGGAACTACTCTCTGCCTGGTACTGGATAGACTCTATGAAGGTAGAAAAGAAGCAGAAGATCATATGACCATCTAAGAGTCTTCAGCTTTATCAGAAAATAAGGTAGACACATATGAATTGGATAAAAAAGTGAGGGAATTTAAAAAGAATGCTCCTCAGTGAGTCTGTGTGGCTGCTGTTACCAGATTATCAAAAGCAATGATATGGATGGAGAGATTAGAGGGCCTCGAGTGGCCAATGAGGGTTTTATGGAGAGAGGACAACTTGCAGCTGGACAAGCTGGTACTGGACAGTAATGGCCCCAACAAGTCTCAGACCTGGAGATGCATATGGAGTTGGGATGGACGGTGTAGGGCTATGAGACTGCCAGTGGGTGGGGCTGGGTGACAGGAGCAGTCTGCAGGTAAAAAGGAGTAAGCCGTGTGGGAACCTGACATGAGAAAAAGTGATGCTTTAAGCATTTATGTTGCATGTTATGTGTGTAAAGGGCATGGAAAATTGGGCTAACCCTTACTTATAGCTTTCTTAAAATGGGCCATTCCCTTTTTTTAAAAAAAAACTAACAACAGCAACCACTTCCCATTTCTACTTCCACAAAGACAACCTCTTGCAACAATATTAACAAGTTCTAGCTGGGCATGGTGGAGTGCATCTGTAGTCCCCGCTACTTGAGCTCAGTAGTTTGAGCCCAGCCTGAGCAACATAGTGAGATCCCATCTCGAAAAAATAAAAATAAAAATAAGTGGCCTGTTCTTTTGATATTTACCTTCGTATCTCTAAATAGCATGCTTGTATTGCTACTTCCTGATTTTATCTAGGTATTATCTATTAACCTCCCACTATAAGAGAGGATTTACCTACCTTTTTTCTCTGCTTCTATCATATAATCACAGTCTTCTCATCCCCCACCCTCAACATAGGTTTATTGTAATTTTAGTTATGACAGTATTCAGTATTTACTTTATAAGACTTTATAAACCCTGTTCAACTTATACCAAGTCATCAACTATTATTTTTCCTTTTCATGTACAACTATTTCCCCTAAGATTAATAATTGACTGCCTAGTTTTTTATGTGTATTACTATCACTGAATATTTGCTTGGTTTTCTGTGTTCACATCACTCTGTTAACCCCAGTCTCAAAGTGCTGTCCTCTCAGTTCCATTGTCCTGATAAAGTCTGCTTGGGGCTTTCTCCTGTGCTACAGCTTACACTCCTGCTTCCATGGCGGTGTTCAGCTGCCATCCTGGGATCGCCCTTGCCATCGTCTTGGTGATTCCCTTCCTCTCTCTTCTGTGTCATCTCTGAGATCCTAGATACCATGTCTTCTTCCGTAGCTTGCTCTCTCTTCTTGGTACAGCATGTTCTCCAGTGACTTCGTGAGCAAGGGAACATAGGGGGCAAAATATCTGGAGACCTCACATGCATTAAAAGGTTTTTATTCTACCTAACACTTAATGGTAGTTGGGCTTGATATTATTTCTAGGTTGGAATTTATTTTCCTTCACGGTTTCAAAGGTTTTGCTCCATTATCTAATTTCTAGTGTTGTTAATCGAGAAGTCTCAAGCCATTTAATTACTTAATCTTATATGTGACCCATTCTTTTTTTTGTTTTTTGTTTTTTTGTGTGTTTGTTTTTTGCCTTTACTCTTTGAAGGTCAAAAGAATCTTCTTTGTCCCAGTATGCTGATTTCAGTGTCTTGCCTTTGCGTGGCCTATTTACATCAATTGTGCTGGTCACTTGTTGGGTCTTTTTGATTTGGAAACTCATATTCTTCAATTCCGGGATAATAATTTCTTGTAATAACTGATGATTTTCTTTTATTCATATTCTCTTTTCTGTCCTTTTGTAACTCCTGTTTTTTAGCTATTGTCTTCTGGAAATGGTTCTCTAATTTTCTTAGCCTTTCTTTCCTGTTTTCTGAGTTTTATATTTTTGTTTTATTTTCTGGGAGATGTTCTAATATTTATTTTTGAACCCTTTTGTTACCAGACAGGGGTCTGATCCAGACCCCAAGAGAGAGTTCTTGGACCTTGTGCAAGAAAGAATTCAAGGCGAGTTCATGGAGTGCAGTGAAAGCAAGTTTATTAAGAAAAAAGTAAAGAAATAAGAGAATGACTACTCCATAGGCAGAACAGTGGCCTGGGCTGCTCAACTAATAGTTACTTCTTGATTATATGTGCTAAAAAGGGGTTAATTACTCATGAGTTTTCCAGGAATGGGGTGGGCAATTCCAGGAACTGAGGTTTCCTCCCATTTGTAGACCATATAGGGCAACTTCCTGATGTTCCCATGGCTCTTGTAAACTGTCATGGCACTGGTGGGAATGCCTGTTAGCATGCTGATATATTATAATTAGCAAATAATGAGCAGTGAGGATGACCAGAGGTCACCATCTTGGTTCTGGCGGGATTTGGCCAGCTTCTTAGTGAATCTGGGTCAGCAGGGTCTTTGTGACCTGTATCTTGTGCCCACCTCCTATCCCATCCTGTGACTAAGAATGCCTAAAATGGACATGCAGCCCGGTAGGACTCAGCCTTATTTGACGCAGCCCCTGTTCAAGATGGAGTCACACTGATTCAAATGCCTCTGGTACTTTCACTGAATTTCTTTCTGTAATCATATTCTTAACTTCCAAGAAGTCTTTCTTTTTCGCTGAATGTTTCTTTTTCAAGGATATCTCATTCTTGTTTCATGAATACAGTATTCTCTCTCATAACTCTGAAGATATTAACGGTAATTGATTTTTGCCCTGTTGAAATTTTCATCTTCTTTTTATGGTTTCTGTTTTCACTGAGTTGCTTTGTTTATAATTGTTTGTTCTCTATTATCATATTAGAGGCTTTTCTTAGATGGCCATTACTCCTGAATACTTTAAAGATTAGTCCAATAAGATGCTGAGTGCGAGCTCTGAGAGTGTGAGTGGGGCCTGGCTGCTGTGACTGTCACAATCATGTGATCTAACTGAGCTTTTTTTTTCTGGGGAATCCTTAATGTAACCGTCTTTGCGTCTTTCCTTCTGGGTTGGTCAGATTTTTCAAGAAAGACTCCTAGTCTTCTGCCTCCAGGCCTACCTGTCAGCTTCTGGGAGACAAATGGGAGATGAGATCTGAGGTTCTCAGCATCTGCACAGTGTACTTTCATTCCGTCTATCTAATCTCAGTAAGGTGCCCCCAACAGCAGTGCCTGGTATGTCTTCCAGTCTAGAAATCCATTGTTCTACTCTTTCCAGAGAATAAATATCCAGACCCTGGGGGTTGAGGAGGAGCCAGATGGGGAAGTAGATGCTACTTCTAGTTCTCCTCTCCCCCTACCCCAACTCTAGAGTTAACTCCTGCCATCAGTCCCTGAGCATTTCAGCGCAGGAATTCTGAATTGCAAATCAGGCTGGCTCTTCTTTCTGGCTTGGGTTTTAGATTGCTTTTCTTGCGTGTGCTGTCATCTGCTTTTCAACTTTTAAAATGCTGATTCTGTTGTTTCCTCTGCCATTCTACCCTTCAAGAGGGAGCTGAAGTACACTCCATCTGTTCCCATATTCCACAATGGAGTATTTTAAAATACAATCCTGTCTATACACATTTGTTATGTGTCTCTTATACAACTAGATTATAGGAGGAAAATGAACTTTTAACTCAAGTGTTTTGTAATTTGTCTAGATGAAGAGTGGAATGAAATAGATAAGACAAAAGAATAATGTTTTTTGTGTATTTTATAATAAATTGATGTGTGTGTTTTTTTTTTTAATAGGTTGTAGTTCCAATGCCCTCATGGTTAATAAGAACCAGAGAATCTGTCACAGATGATCCCCAGAAATTCGCAATGGAATTATCTATAATTTACAAATACTCACCATTTAAAACTGAAGCAGAATTGATGCAGCAGTTTGATGTGATCTATGGAAAATGTGGTAAGATCATCAAAACTCTGACAATTTGAGGGAAGTATTTGTTTTCAGTGTCTTATCAAAGACACTGTACATATGTTTTCTTTTTTTTTGTTCTTATAATCTCATGTGGATTCACACTCGGGACAGTCATTTATTTTATCCATGTGAGCTTTGTCTTAAGAGCATCCAAACATAAATTATTGTAAATCCCTGACCCTGGGAGAAGGGTGTGTACTTGCATGAGCTTGGTGAAACTGGGTGAGAAGAGGATGATACAGGCTATGACCACAGGGACTCCACAGCCTTTGCTGGTTATTAGATAGCAAAGTTAGGAGACACTTACTGCATCATTTGAGATAGGGTGGTAACAGGTATGTAAGAGAGTTAGCAACTTATGAAGTAGTGAATTCATGTCTCTGTGGCAAAGAGTTAGCAAAAGCATTGCAGACATTCTTCTCCAGATTAACAGATCTTTTCCCTCATTCTTTCCACTTCCACCAACTTTCTGTTCAACATGTCGAATGCACTGTGTCTACTGACACAGTTGATCCAGGATTTAGACACAGATATTTAGGCTTGAAAGCCCATGTTCTTAGCTACTATGCTATTCTCCCTTGTGTTTAAAACTACCAAAAAGTATAGTTAGTTGTCCTCTTAATTTCTCTGATGATCCTGTTTGACTTTGTATCATAATCAACTAGAAATAATTTGGACTTTTTTGTTAACCGTGCCTTGGAGCAGGGGCCAGCAAATTATGGTCTCGGGTCAAATGTGGCCCCCTACCTGTTCTTGTAAATCAAGTTTTATTGGAACGCAACCACACTCATTCATTTATGTATTATCCGTTGCTGTTTTCATGCTTCAGTGGCAGAGCTGCATTGTGAATAGTTGCAACAGAGACCGTATGGCCTGCAAAGCCTGAAATATTTACTGTCTGGCCCTTTGCAGAAAAAATTTACTAACACCTGCTATAGTGTATGAAAACAATACTTCTTATTTGTACAATATTTAAAAACCCTTCTTTGTTTTTATATGTGTTAAATTTAGTACTACCAATGAGAGCTTTACCTATAACACAAGCTTGGCTCACGCTCTTAACAAATTTCATAATGCAAATTATGAAAAAAGTGCCAAAGTTTAAAAATCCACATCAAAAGACTTGTAATGAATTGAATAGTAATAAGAGGCACCATACTGTAGAAACTCAGCACTCTTTGGCAGGGAGTGAAACTTGCTATAAGACATATCTTGGTTTAGCCAAAGACTTAGCCAAACATACTATTTCCTGAAGTACAAAAGAAAATTTTATAACAGATTCAGTTCCATAGATGAGATGATAGCACAATGACTAGCACTTAGTGTATTTAAAATACTGACAAGTCAAACATCTATTTTTCTACCAGGTACTTTGCTGGTTATTTATAACTTGAAGCTTCTGCTTAATGGAGAACCAGAGTTGGATGTTAAAACTGACAAAGAGGATATACTGGTGGCTGGAGCTCTGGAGGAGTATGTGTGTGTTTGACAGAACGTTTTTCAACAATGGTGGTGAGCTAGAGTTAGGAGCCCTGCGTCCTAGCTCCAGGTCTGAGGTCGCTGGGCTTTAGCACTGGGACAGTTCATCTTATCCTAGTTACCAATAAAGTTGGGCTAGACCAGTGGTTTCCAAACTTCAAGCCTCAGAGTGACCTGGGATGTTTCTTGAGAAGTACAGGATCTGGGGCCTCATTTTGACCTACTAAGTCAGAATGTCCAGATATCAAGCCGAGGAATCAGTCTTTTTCAAATGTTCCCCAGGTGATTCAGAAGTGCCAGCATGTTTAGGGACCACTGGAATATAAGACTCCTAAAGCGTTCTAATACCTTGACTCCTAATTTATAGATATTAAGACTGCAAAAAACCTGCGGAGTTTATTACTCATTACAGATCATTAAAAATGGACAGACGTCGGGAGAGTGTGAAGCAAAAAGGAATATGACCAAATGGCAATTTTATCGTTATTTTCTGCATGAAAAAGTGTGGAGAAAGAATGAAATAGTGACAAAAGCTAGGTTTCTCTAAAATAACATTTTTACTTAAAACTTAGCTTGAGCCTGCAGTTTTTTAGTCTCAGAACACTGCAGCTAGAAGAGATTGTAAAGGTAATTTAATCCAGGGTGATTTATTTTGTATTTCATTGTTGTACAGTAGAAATATAATGAGAGCCACAATAAGGGACAAATTTAATCTTAAATTTTCTAGTATAGCCACCTTAAAAGTGAAAAGAGGCCGGGCACGGTGGCTCAAGCCTGTAATCCCAGCACTTTGGGAGGCCGAGACGGGTGGATCACGAGGTCAGGGGATCGAGACCATCCTGGCTAACATGGCGAAACCCCGTCTCTACTGAAAAATACAAAAAAAAACTAGGTGGGCGAGGTAGCGGGTGCCTGTAGTCCCAGCTACTCGGGAGGCTGAGGCAGGAGAATGGCGTAAACCCGGGAGGCGGAGCTTGCAGTGAGCTGAGATCCGGCCACTGCACTCCAGCCTGGGCGACAGAGCGAGACTCCGTCTCAAAAAAAAAAAAAAAAAAAAAAAGTAAAAAGAATAGGTTAAATTAATTTTGATAATGGTTTTATTTAATCCAATATGTCTAAAATATTGTCATTTAAATTTCAATATGAAAAATACTGATTTTTTTTTGAGACGAAGTCTAGCTCTGTTGCTGAAAAATATTGATGATATTTTACATTCTTTTTTTAAATACAAAGTCTTTGAATCCAGTGTATGTTTTGCAACATACAGCACATATGAATTTGGACTGATGCCCAATAGCCACAGGTGGCCAGTAGCTACCATATGGTTTTAGACTAAGGTGTTAAGACCCACGTAGACACGTCAGGTTACAGAGAACTTCTTTTGCTTTTCCCAATGAGGTGAAATTTAGAAATTTCTTTCCACAGTTAGCAAATAACTATTTGATAACACACTTTTAGATGATCTTCTCTCCTTATTTCTGAGGTATGTTTTTTCTCATATTCCAACATGTGGAATTCCTAATCTACACAGAAATGGAGGGCTTTTTTTTTTTTTTTTTTCGGAAAAAAATATTCAGCCTAATGGCTGTTCCACAAATGCTGGGAACCCCTGTGCCAGCATTAATGTACCAGTGTCAGAAAGGAGTCCCAGAATTATCAACATCTCCATTACTGTCTTCCCCTTTTCCTGCTGCCTCTGCCCTTCTAGTTGCCAGCTGGTTCCAAAACCGATATTTCATGCTATTTAAAAGCATTTTGAAACAGTTATCTGTCAGAGTGCCTTGGCATTTCTACACTGGCATTAGAAAACAATACATTATTAGAGGGATAATTTGACAGCTACATCTTTGGAAAGATGTTCTTGCTGTTTCCAGATTGTGTAATGAAGCCAGAGCTTCTCTAGCTATTTAGGCAGTTAATTATAAAATAAAGAAAATGAATGAGACGTAAAACATGTACACTTTCACTTTGGCACATAGATCACACTGGATTTTCTAATTTGTTTTTCAGCAGAATTTTGTTTTAGTTTAATCACAAGAAAAGCCTTCAAAGACAGGGCTGGGATTTGTAAGGAAGAATCAGGGTAAAGAGGATTCATAATTTCTGAACCAAGGATGCTGTACATTTCATGGCCTCTGACATGAATACCGTGATGGTGCCAAGAAGGGATAGCATCACCATTCCCCACCTCCTCGGGGGTAGCAGTGCCTCTGTAGTTTTCTTCTGTAAAAGATTTGCCCTTAATTCCACTTCATTATTGATTTTGACCTACTGTTTCCTCCCCATCACTCCCAAGCTCCCTTTAAACTTAGAACATACATTTTTTTTCTTTTTTTTTTTTTTTTTAAGGTGGAGTCTCATCCTGTTGCCCAGGCTGGAGTGCAGTGGTGCCATCTTGGCTCACTGCAACCTCTGCCTCGTGGGTTTAAGCAATTCTCATCCGTCAGCCTCCCAAGTAGCTGGGATTACAGGCATGCACCACCCTGCCCAGCTAATTTTTTTGTATTTTTAGTAGAGACGGGGTTTCACCTTGTTGGCTAGGCTGGTCTTGAACTTCTGACTTCAGGTGATCTGCCCGCCTTGGCCTCCCAAAGTGCTGGGTTTACAGGCATAAGCCACGACACCTGGCCAACATACATGCATTTTTAACTTGTTAAAAAATGGTACATACTTTGCCACACAAGGTTATGGACAATGGTGTGGTCCCGTGGGTTTTAACATTAACACCCAATTACTCTTCAGTAAGAGACTAGAAAAGACATTAATTCTTAGTCCTAAAGGATTAGTTCTGGTCCAAGGTGGATCTTTTTTTTGAGTCCTCTTTCATTTATGGCTTCTGATATTTGAACCTCTAATACGGTGCAATTTATAATATGACACATTTTTTACCATTTCTTTTCCTGGTGATTATTGTATCCCCCTATCTCTGCTGGGTAGGATTCTAGAGCTGTCCAAAACAATTTTCAAATCTTGAAACTATGTAATTTCCAGGTTTGGTCTCAGATAGTAGAGTGCTGCTGATTCTGAAAATAATTTAATTTTCTGTATAGGAATATGAAGATTCAAACTTTCAAGCTTTATTGGCCTCAGGGGAGAGGTGTTTTGGCATTATTTATTTCATATAGTTCTTGTGAATATTTGACATTGTGGGTTTTTTGTTTTGTTTTGTTTTTGTTTTTTTTGAGACAGAGTTTCACTCTTGTTGCTGAGGCTGGAGTGCAGTGGTGCTATCTCAGCTCACTGCAACTTCTGCCTCTTGGGTTCAAGTGATTCTCCCACCTCAGCCTTCCAAGTAGCTGGGATTACAGGCATGTGCCACCACTCCAGGCTAATTTTTTGGTATTTTTATTAGAAATGGGGTTTCACCATGTTGCTCAGGCTGGTCTCGAACTCCTAACCTCAGGTAATCCACCCACCTTGGCCTCCCAAAGTGCTGGGATTACAGGCGTGAGTCACTGTGCCCAGCTTTGACATTAGTTTTAAACATAGGATTCAAAACCTTTTATCATTCTGCTTTGGGCTGAGGCACTAACAGCAGTAATCAGACCCGTAGCAGGGTCTCCTTACAACATGACAATCATGTCAAGAGAATTTCAGTAGAAGTGATGTTCAAGCACATGGTCAGTGGTGGCCTGTGGTTTGGCAATATCAGTTTAAAGGTGACCTATTTCCACTTAAATTAAAAAAAAATTTCTAATAGATAGCAGTCATCAGAATTTCAGAATGCACGTGATAACACAAGTCTGCATTTTATGTGTGAAATGTCAAATTGAATTTTGAAATTATGAATATGATTTATGGAGAGTGCCAGGGAATCAGATATAGGTTCCAGGGTTATATGCAGAAAGTGAGTTGAATTTGCAGGGTAAAAATTATCTTAAAGTTATATGTTGCCATAAACTTAGGCAGTGTTTCCTGAAAGCGAAGAAGATACAAAAAATAACTTTGTAAAAAATCAAAAGAAAATCAAGAGTTTGAAACAAAGGGTGGGGGTAATGCCAAGAATACTGAACACTGAAAATGAAAGTGGACTAATGACAGAAAACAAGATGTTTCTTCAGGGCTGGGCTAGGTGTGTTTACTAATTTATGTTGTGGTAATTTTTTGGAACTCTGGACCCAAATCCCACATCTCAAACTTTTGTAGATATTTTCTTCCATTAAGTTATATTTTTTCCTCTTTAAATAGTCCATTTGTGCAAAACAAAATCTTTAGTTAATTATTTCCCTCCATCTTATTGGTGGCTTTTAGTAAGCTTCATTTACAGTCATACAGATGATTAAAGTTTAGAATCATTTTCAGAAGTCCTTTGTTGAGTGGCTACAGAAGATAACAGGCTAGTGGAGGGTTTCAAAATGAGTCACTGCCCATCATGACCACCTATGTGGTTAGTATGGATTCTCATCTGCGAAATCTACAGGACTGTGATTCTACTTTGGCATTCCTTACATAGAGATCGTATTTCATTCACAGGACATAGACCTCTTTATATGGATACCAGGATGGAATCTTAATTTGGATTTTAAAATTACATGTAAGATACGCCACTGAATTGGATCCAAGCATTACTTTTCCTTTAGACTTTTAGTTTAGGTTCAGGGGTACACATGTAGGTTTGTTATGTAGGTAAACTCGTGTCACAGAGGTTTGTTTTACAGACTATTTCATCACTCGGGTATTAAGCCCAATAGCCAACAGTTACCTTTTCTGCTCCTTTCCCTCCTCCCACCCTCCACGCTCAAGACCCCAGTGTCTGTTGTTTCCTTCAGTGTATCCATGTGTTCTCATTATTTAGCTTACACTTGTAAGTGAGTACATGCAGTATTTAGTTTTCTGTTCCTGTGTTAGTTTGCTAAAGATAATAGCCTCCAGCTCTATCCACATTCCTGGAAAAGACATGATCTCGTTCTTTTTTATGGTGGCATAGTATTCCATGGTATATGTACTGCATATTCTTTATCCAATTTGTCATTTATGGACATTTAGGTTCCATA